GAATGAAGGTGTGGCTTCTTCTTGAAGTAGTCTCTTCTGGCTTAAAGACCTTCTTGAGTTACAGCTGTTGTGTATAAACTGCATGTGGCCTACTCTTCCCTAGTAAGAGTGTGCTGTTTCTGCCTTTCCTGACTGCTATGTCAAGTCTTTGTTTTAAGGAAAAAGAGTCTTGGTGCTCTACTTTAGACTTTGCTGTAATTCATTTATTTTATTAGTCTACCCAGTACAGCATGGACCATTTCTCAGGGATGCATAACTGGTACGCCTGCTCACATGCTCGGCCAACGTACTGCAACGTGTGTCGGGAGGCATTATCTGGAGTCACATCGCATGGACTCTCATGTGAAGGTAAGCATGCTCTCTTGTCTCCTGTTTCGGGTGCATCGTCTTTAAATGCCATGTTCCAGAGATAATTTAAGACAATGTTGTTAACAGTCTGCAAAAAGATGTAGAAAAATGCTGCTTAATAAACTTGAGAGCTCTGCAGGCTGTGTATGAGACGGGAGGTCTTTCCTGGACCTCATGCTGAAACCCTTTGGCTTCACAGAGAATTTCCCTGCACAAGTGAAGATCAGGATCTTGGCATTTTGTCAAAGGATAATTAGGCATGGGGATGTTTTCATGCTGGTTTTAGTGTTGGACCTGATAGTAATATAGCTGGTTATATTTTTTCCCATATACCTAAATACTGCCATCTCTTATTAAAATCATGCTTCTGAAGTGAACAGGTACGTACTTCTGCGGTATCAGGTAGAATATTCATAAGAATACTCCTGTTCATAAGAATAATGATACTTGTAAGAACGTCCTTGTTCAGTGTTTGAATGCTGGGAGGTTATTCTTCTTCAGGTTTGGCATAGCGGACATGCCCGCCTGCGCACAGCTCGTACTTCTAGCATGAATGAGGTTACACCCACGCTGTGTAAAAGGATGCAGGAGTGTATGGCTATGTAAATCATGTCAGATTTAACAAGGTGATTACTAAACTTAGCAACTGGCAAAAGTGACAAGGCGAGAATGAATAGCTAGCTCATCTTACTCAGTATGTTTAGGGCTGATAGTTTTGGCAGTGCTAACAGGGGGGTAGTGTGTGCCCATGCTTTCTTCTGGAGCCAAATATGGTCACTTGGGAAAGCTTTTGCACAGACTGCAACGTTGCACGTTCTGAGGCAGGATTAATGTATTCTTCTCTTCCTCTCTAGTGTGCAAGTTTAAAGCCCACAAGCGGTGTGCTGTGCGGGCAACCAATAACTGCAAGTGGACAACTCTGGCCTCTATCGGGAAGGATATAATTGAGGATGAAGATGGGGTAGGCATTAGTCTTAACTCTTCCAGCCTTATCTTGATGTGGAAGCACCGACATGCAGTACAGCTTTCTTCACTGTACATATAGCAGATTCTACCTTTATGTGTCAGTGGTGTGAAGGACCTTTACTGTCAGAGCATGAGTTTCTGTGTGAAAAGTCCAACCAGGGTAGTGAGAACTCCTGCTATAGACTGGGGGTGTTGAGGTAAAATAGTTGGAGGCGTGGGGAACTTGATCTGAGTTTGGCAAAAGAAAGATGAGCGAGTGGTTGGAACAGTACCTTAGCATGTGTGATGTGTGATGCGTGATGCAAGTCTGTGTTTCCTGGATAGCCTGGGGCGAGTCACCTGGTCTCTTTGGAAAACGCCAGAATGCCAAAAGAGATCCTTTGGTGTTTTCTAGAAGTTGCCTTTGCTGTTCCTCAAACACGCATGTGAAGACTTGCATCTCTGTGTGTCTCAGTGCCACGGTGCATTCTGCACCCTTGAGTTGCACTCTGGAAAGTCCACGTTGCTCCTCTCCCTCTGTGCCGTTTGCAGATCTCGATGCCACATCAGTGGCTGGAAGGAAACTTGCCCGTGAGTGCCAAATGCACCGTGTGTGATAAAACCTGTGGCAGCGTTCTGCGTTTGCAAGACTGGCGCTGCCTCTGGTGCAAAGCTATGGTGAGTTAAATAAACGTGATCATTTCAGGAAAAGGATAGTCTTTGATCAGCTCTGCGGTGTGTTGTTTTAATGACATTTACTTAAAATGAAATCTCTAACTGTGCGGTCAGTATTTGCCGTGAAGGACTTTATTGTTCTTTCTCCAGATGATAAACAGCCTGCAAGAGATAGAAATTTAAATGTGTGCTGAGAAGTATCACTGTGACACATGAAAGTAAGACCTGAAATAAGTATCTGCCTTCTCTGCAAGCTCATTTACTTTTGATACTGAGCTTTCATAGAAGAATCTAATTACACTAGATCTGAATCAATGCCTCAGGCATGGGATATGTTGGATTTTAAGAAGCCGTTATTTGTCAGTTCTACAAGTTGAAAAGGTACAACAAAAAAAGATGATAAAGAATACTAAGCTATTTTAGTAATAGCAATTTCTGTTCCAATTACAGTAGTTTTCTCTTGCCTAACCACTCCAGTGGTACAGATCTTGCTAGGTTTCCAGTTGTCTATAAGATTAATAAAAGAAGTATCACAGTATATGTGTTTATAATGTGTGGGATGGGGGCTCAAACCCCAAGCAAATCCTCTGTCTTGCAGTCTTCATATACCAGAGATGACTGAAGTGCACTACTCTGCTTTGTATTTCCTTTTTTGGGAGGCTTTATTAATCCCTTTTTCTCTTACCTCTTCGTGTCCCTCACGTCTTCCTACTGTGTTTTTTGCTTTCTTGTTTTCTTGAATTTCCAACTGTTTGTTGCTACTTTGATCTCTCAACTGAGGCTAGGATTTTGAAAGCAGAATCCTTGAAGGCTCTTCAAGCCATATAATCTGTTACCTGGTCCTCTCAGCACTCAAAATGCTAGTCTCATAAATGTAAATGGCAGAAAAGATACATGCTAATGGAAAGAGGAGAATTAGTAGAAGTCTCTGATTAGATCATTCTTAAAATAACTTTATCCTTGACATTTCCTTGGATTCTCCCCCCCCTTCCTTACTTGCTCTTCCTTTACAGCTGCCTGTTGTGGGTGGATTTGTGAGTTATACCACAGTGCCCAAAAGAGTCTGAATAAATGTTTTTTGGTGGTGTTTTCAGGTACACACAGCATGTAAAGAGTTGTTGACAAACAAGTGCCCTCTTGGGCTCTGCAAAGTATCTGTCATTCCTCCTACTGCTCTTAACAGCATTGATTCAGATGGTAAGTACTGCTAGCAAGTAGTGCCTTCTTTCTCTTCCTCTCAGTCGCAGCCCCTTCAGCTGACACTATTAATGCCAGACTCTGTCAACTGGAAGCTCTGCTTTTGTTGTTGCTGAAATTCCAAACTGGAAGATGTTGCTGAAGTATGATGATGAACTGTTTGCTTTGCTTTTGCATTGAGTTTATTACCCTGTAACATCAGTATTTGCTGAGCTGCAGCTGTTAAAATTTATTGTGAACAACTACATTGCAGAAGCAGTTTGGGAAGGTTGGGGAAGCTGAAAATATTGGCATACTGCTAGGACATAAGTGTGACGTTTGGCAGCATGAGGTGTGGTTCGTGATGGATTCAGGGCTGTGCGCATTTGGCATTTACCCAGCAAGTGCCACAAGCACAAGTAAAGTATTAGCTTCTTCATAGCTGTGCTGGGGTGTGGGCGTTGGTTTTTTTTTCTCACTCCATCTCCATGGGCAGTTTCACATCTCTTGGCTTTTCCTCCCTCCCCCTTCCCTTTTCTCCGACAGGTTTCTGGAAAGCTACTTGTCCGCCTTCTTGCACAAGCCCTTTGTTGGTCTTTGTCAACTCAAAAAGTGGAGACAACCAAGGTGTAAAATTTCTACGAAGGTTCAAACAGCTACTGAATCCAGCCCAGGTCTTTGACCTCATGAATGGAGGGCCTCACCTTGGGTAAGCAGATATTCTGTGGAAGCACACATGCCTTCTAAACACCAGAAAAGTACAAGTGATTTATTTGATTATAAGCTCATCCTCAAATATAACAAGAAACCTATTCCTCAGAGAAGACTGAACACATATGAAGTTTGGAGGGGTTTTTCCCCTCTCTGTGTTTAGTGTTATTCATTAGCTAAAAGCCAAAAATGTTGTTGAAAAAGGTTATTATTTCCATTCATCAGTAACAGCAGGCCAGCTTGAGGAGGTTTGGGGGAATTCCAGAAGCACTCCCCTGGAAGAAGACCAAACGTGGAAAGCTTGAATCCAGAAGAAAACTTGTCAGCAAACAGACTTGTAACAGGCATCCTGATGTACTGTTATCAAAAGTTAACTGAAGGGAAATCAGGTCACAGACAAATATCATACACAGCAAATGAATATGGTCAAAATGGGATTTATCCAGAAATAACTTGTCTGGGAAGTATGTGAAACTTCCATACCTTAAAGATTTTTTGATGATATTGGGAAGACATCTCTTACGAATGCTTTTGGTAAAGTTGGTTTTGCCCTGGGATTTAGATGACATTTCAGGCTTGTTTACCAGATTACACTAAAATATCTAGGGATAAAAAAAAGTGAGTGCTGTAGAATAAATTCCTTTAGTGTATTTCTGCAACTCTTTTTTTAAAAAAAGTTTGGTCTCTAGTTTGCTTCCTTTAAATGTTCCTCTGTTGCATCAGATTTGGGTAACTTTTGTCAGGAATGGGTGCTTCTTATAGTAAGAGCCAAAACAAGGTAAATTTCCTTTGTATTTTTCTAAATGTGACTCATAGTCTCTGACTAAGACCTGTAGATGCAGGGTGCTAAATCTGGGAGTGTCCACTCCGGGATGAGCGAGTGGCAGGGTCTGCTCTCCTGAGAACTGTTGTGGTTTCTTGCCATAGTGCATTGCAAAGCGCTGGCCTTTAAAACGGCAGCATGCTGTCCAGGGGATGTGTTTGGCTGATACATAATTTACAGAAAACTTTAAAAATTAAATATTTTTCTTCTTCCCCTCCCCAGCTGGACTGACTGTAGAGAGGAATTTTCTTTTTAAGCAGGAGAGAAGGGAAGGGAGGGAATAAATTATTTTCTTAAGCTGTGGTGTGTACTTCTAAAACAGCTGCTCTTGTTTGCTTTCTTAAAAAGGAAATGATGGTGCAGGGTAAAGGCTGCTTCTTGATAATTTAAAGATTCTCAGCTGGTGCCAGTCAAACTGTACTGTAAGTTGATGTGATTTCTGATAGATGTTTTTCATGTGTCAACAATGCTTGAAGAGATAAGGATTTTAATGTACTGCAGCAAGTCCTCTTTAGGTAATTTAAGAAAAAAAAATATATACAAAACCAAAATAAAAGCAGGCAGTAGTTCTGGAAGATGTTCAGTAAAAAGCAGGGTTTCAAACAGCTTAAGGAGAGGTTGTTTTTAATATTGTGGAAAGGGTGAATAGAGAAATTCACACTTGTCTTGATGGTGAGTTGTTTGCCTGCCTGCCTGAAGGACAAATGAGGCACCAGAGCATTGATTTATGTTGCTTTCCCAGAAGAAGGACTAAAGCTTGTGAAGCTTTACATCTTCTTACAGTTGTCTGCTTGCTGAATGACTGCACAAAGTTCCCACTCTTCAAGTTTTGCTTTAATTGGTGTGGCCTCGAGTGCAGAGGTAGTGACATCAGAGCACTCCAAGCAGTGGCAAATAGCTCGTGTTAGGCTGAGCACAGCACAGCTGCAAAAAGGAGTTAATTCAATGGATAATGAACTATCACATGCTTGTTTCCTCTTCAGTTCAGACAAAAGTGCCCTGCTTTAGTAGAGGAGTATATCTGGGACATATTTCTGTAGTGAATAGCTGTTGTAAATTGCTTAGCTGTATTTATTATTCCTTATTTATAATCATTTTAATTAATCTGTAGTCTGACAGTGGCCTGTTTTCACTGCAAAATGAGAGCCTACTTTAAGCAAATCTGCCATGTTTATTACCTAGATTGGACTTTTCTTTCTATAACAGCTGATTGTTCTTCTCTCTTGCTTTTTTTCTTTCCTTTCCCTGTAGTTTACGCTTATTCCAGAAATTTGACACTTTCCGGATTCTTGTTTGCGGTGGGGACGGAAGTGTTGGCTGGGTTCTCTCCGAAATCGATAGCCTCAATCTTCATAAGCAGGTATCTGCCCAATGAGCTTGTCTGGTTGAAAGAATAAAGGAATAACAATAGCATGGGTCAAAGAGGACTTTCTTTGATCATGGAGATGTAGTTTGCCCTGGAACTGAAGCTACTGAAAGCTTACCACAGCAGTGCTCATGCAGTGGTTTTCTGCAAGAAGCAATCCCGGACTAATTCATTATTTCTATCTCCATTGCTCCCCCACAACTCCCTCTTACAAGATCCAGCTTTTGGAGTAGCTCCGAGTTACTGCTGCTCCATTGCCAGCAGAAACTTATACTCGGAAAGGGCTACAGTTAGAAAACTGGGAGTTCCACAAGGGTAGTGCTCCTCATCTAGTCCCTTTAATTCTCATGGTGTTGTTTCTGAGTCCTGGGATAGACAGAAACTTCATTGGAGTAGAGGTATCAGTGTTTAATTTGTTTCCGTTTTGTCTTGGAGATGCCTATGCTAATTTTACAGAAAAAGCAATAGCACCACCTGATGGTTAAATAAATACATCTGTAGAAGGGCTTATTTTTAGTAAGATGCTCCTCGAGATGGTAGCTGTAATACACTCCTCTCTCAATTAACAGCTTTAAAGTAGAGGAAATTTTTCCTTACTTGCATGCTCATCTGGCTGTTTTCCCCATCCAAGTACTTTTTCCTCCTCCTGGGACCAGCTGTTTCTCAATGACTGGTCTGTGTAAGGAATCAGTCCCTGTGACTGTTTTTGGCTTGTGTTTTGCCGTTTGAGTACCAGTTTTGTTTTCCTTTTCTCTAATGCAGTGCCAGCTGGGAGTGCTGCCCTTGGGAACAGGGAATGACCTTGCCCGCGTGTTAGGCTGGGGGTCTGCTTGTGATGATGATACCCAGCTCCCCCAGATCCTGGAGAAGCTGGAGAGGGCCAGTACCAAAATGCTGGACAGGTGAGTAACCATCACTCCTCTGCTCAAGAGTTGTGTGAAAACCCCCTTCCAGGACAACAGGGCAGTTCTTGGTTCTGCCCAGCTGCTACGCTTCTTACTAATGCCAGTGAACGTTTTTTCTTTGATAATCCTGTGTCACCCTTCAGCAACAAAAGGTAGTCTGGCTTTCTTTGTCACCACTAAAGAATAGTATTGAGTGAAATTGTTTTATGTCCGGTGTCCTCTCTTGTGTTCCACAGTTCTTGTCAGTTGAATTTGACAGCCTTTCAGACATTATTTATTTTGTTAAGCTAATTTTTTTCCTTAGTAAATTTGAACCAGTTTATCTTGAGTTTGGCTTAGAAATGAAACCTGAATGTAGAAACAGGTGTTTTTACCTCAGTACTGATATCGCTTATATATCTTTGTACATTTAAAAATGCTTCTTTAGAGTTGCGTCTTGGCATCTGTACAATCAAGTAATGCCCATAAAATTTCTGTGAGAGAGGGAAGTATAGAGAAGGTCCTTGTGCTGTAGGATACCTGCTCATAGTGTCATCCCTTCCTCTTCCCCCATTTCAGCTCCTCTGCAGTTCCATTGCAACCCTGTGGTTTTCTTACATCAGTCATGACCCTGCCAAAGTGCAGTTTGTTCCACTTGAGGTTCTAATCTGCTATGTCCTTTGGATAAAGGAGGAAGTCATCTGTCTTGTAGTGACAGCTGTGATGTCTCCTTTTCAACAGGTGGAGCATCATGGTGTATGAAACCAAACTGCCTCGCCAGGCCTCCACTTCCACAGTCACTGAAGATTTCAGTGAGGATTCTGAGGTACCTTATGAGATGCAGAGGGTAGGGACTTGGAGCAATGGCCTTAGAACAGACAAGGCAGGAGGCAGTGGTTGTGTTCAAATGGAGTAGGACATCCAAGTATGACTTGGATGAAGCAGGAGCTACAAAGATCCTGGGTCTCTAAGTAAATGAAGTATTATGGAGAAGGATGGAGGTTGGGTTACCAGAGTCAACAGCCATAATGGGGAACAGGAGGAAAATGCTTTGGAACAGAATAGAGGGGAACTGATCGACTTTAATCTGCTGTCATGACATCATGTTATTGAAATAGGGGAAGGCTGCATAGCAGTCATAAGAACCGTAAAAACCCAATTTTAGCTCCATAATAGTTAATCAGAGACTCTAAGAACTGCGTTGCTGATGATTTCCAGGTTCAGAATTACTTTCTTCGTCAGATTCAGATCTTCAGTAGGTAACTGAGTCTTGGACCAAGGAACTTTTCCAGACCAAAAAGAACCTGTAGAACGATAGGTACTCTCTGGGGAGCCAGGGTTACAGAGCGTGTGTTGTAATGTTGGGAAGCAGCACTGCAGTGGCTTGTTTCTCACTGTCACCAGGTGCAGAAGATTCTCTTCTATGAAGACTCTGTGGCTGCTCATTTGTCCAAAATTTTGACTTCTGACCAACACTCGGTGGTCATCTCCTCAGCCAAGTGAGTATTTACAGGATGACTGCTCTAAGTGAAAGTTGCGCTGTGAAAATCCTGAGACAATCCTTGCATGACTTTATCTTTACTACCTTCTTTGTCTAGGGTGCTTTGTGAGACAGTGAAGGATTTTGTGGCTCGATTTATGAGAAGGCAACGGAAAGCTCAGAGGAATCAGAGGTCATGGCCAGGAAGGTAAAACTGAATAAATTGTTTGGGTTTCTACTTCTGAACAGGAAAACTGCTCTGTTTTCAGAGAACTAGGACAGCAGCAGTTCAGCAAGCACTAAAAGAATGAGCCTACCCAGTTTACCGTTAGTTCTACTCTAATGTTCTTCTTCACCTTATAGTGCTCTGTCCTGAAGGAGAAGCTGGACTCATTGTTGAAGACACTGAATGATGAATCTCAAGCATCTTCATCTCTGCCAAACCCTCCTCCCACCATTGCAGAGGAAACTGAAGATGGCGATGGGTCAGGCAGTGCTTGTGATTCTTCTAGTGACCAGTCAGTGGGCTCCTCATGTACTGCACGGCCCCAGATATTTCGTCCCCGAGAACAGCTCATGTTGAGAGCCAACAGCTTGAAAAAAGCCATTCGTCAGATAATAGAGCATGCAGAAAAAGGTAACCTGTTAGGAGTCTTGCTTGTGACTTGTTACAAGCTCTTGAGAAGTATAAATGTCCTTTATTCCAGAGAGGAGTAGAGTTTTTTATTAAAAACAGATTTCCTGAGCTAGAGAAGCTATTCAGTAAGCCTGGCTATTTAGTATCAGTGTCACCTCTGCCAAGCCCATCTGTTTGAAGCATTGCTTGGTAAATGAGCGTGAAGTTCAAGGTATGTTCTCTCCCATAGGGCTGGTTTAGGAAGTTACTACTCTCCCACACTCTGTTCATTTGCATTTCCTGTCTGTCTCCACCCATACCACAATTGTGTCAGCGCAACTGTGTGCGGCCTTTCTGTAAAACAGATCTGAAAATACTTGGGAAGAAACTATTTTAAGTATTTTAACTTGGATTGTTTCAGAAATCTCTTTATAGTACAGCCCAGCAAAACAGTGCAGTGGTACAACTGCAAGAGGGGGCAGGAGCTTCTTAAACTGGCTTTGTCACTGGGAAAATGTTATAATATTACACCTCGATGCAAATCAATTCTGTTCCGATATAACTTTCTAGGCAGGTGACCCTCTTCTCCACATCTTGACCCTTATCTCCCTCCAGCCACTCACACCCATAGCTCAAAGTTTCATGTCCTTTGAAAGGAGTCATTCCCACAGATGTTAGTCATAAACTCAGTGGTTTAACTTAGACCAAAGGAAGGACTTAACAGCTTATTACTGGAGGTAAAAGCACTGAAGCTGCAGATGTGACGTCCATGCACACCTAACTGTGCACTGTAAACAGCTACGCAGTCAGTTACAGATCATGACAACGTTGCTTGGATGTCCAGCACTACAGTATTGCGTATAACCTATCCCGGAGGCAGTTATACAAGATGATGGAAGGTGAGCAAAGAACCTGCTTCTGGTGAAGTCGAGGTCCCTCACTGCAGCCCTACTTTGCTGCTGCTTACTTTATGCCAATTTGATGTATGTTGCAGTTCTGTTGCAGCCCAACCAATTTGCTTAATCCAGCAGGAAGAGTTTATATCTCTGCTGGGCTAGTGGGTTGGTTTGCATTGTGGGTGGTTGTGATGAACTCCAGGGTTAGCACAAAGGAAAGGAAGAGACTGAAAGAAGGGGGGCTCATCCCCTGCAGAGGCAGTGAGCTGGTAGATCAGCTCAGGGCTGCTCACGGAGCTGTGCCCTTTGAGGGGCTGCTAGGGCGGAAGGCCTGTTGACTACATGTGAAGGAAGTTTTGATTTCTTTAGGTGACATGCTAGCATTTAATCCTCACCGCCTCTTGGGCAAACTCCAGTTACATTTCTAATGGATTTGTTCAGCTTCTCCAAACTGTTTTTCGTCTTCCAAAGTATGTAATCTGATTCTTTCCTCTGTATTTTTTTTTACCAACTGCTATTTTCTTCCTCCTGATTAGATGTGTCTAAGTGCTCTTTTCAAGTGGCTTATCCCAGTACAGATTAAGCAAACAGAAAAAAAATAATTAAATTTATCATTTAATGTCTATCTGGTTAGAATTTCTGGCAACATCTGAATACAAATAAGTGGAAGCTCATCACCTGTAGCACAGTTTACATCTCAGGAAGCCCGAGTACCTGTAGCATTGAAGCCCTTCTGTTTAGAGCCTCACTGCCAAAGAGCTCAGCAAAGAAAATAGGAGGCTAAGCCGGCCCAGTTCCAAAAGCTCTCCAGAGCAGAGCTTACTTGAAACAGATTATATAGGGAAGTTTTTTGTTGTTCCTGTTCTTTCCTTTAAGGATTCAGGGCCTTTAGGGTCCCATCCTATTGTTATTTATATCGGTGGGAGGTGTTCCTTGTTAGAATAGCTGTGAGGCACTCACCTACTTTCTCTCTCCTTACAGCTGTAGATGAGCAGAACGCCCAGACCCAGGAGCAAGAGGGCTTCCTCCTTAGTCTCTCAGCCTCTGAAGAGGACAAGGAGCTGAGGAATGAGGATAAAATCTCCCTGCAGTCATCACACAGCAGCAGCTATGGAGTGTCCAAAGGAAGGACCCAGCGTAAAGGTACTGCCCGGGGGCTGCCACATGCAGATCTTACTTGCAAATTAGGATTCTGTTAGTTGTAAAAAGTGAGGGGGGTGTTATGTGTATTACCTTCCAAGTTCTGTTTTTCTCTAATTTTTGAAGAATTGCTCTTCAGATGCCAGGTCTTGCATGTTTCTATGCTCTAGCCTGTGCATCGTACATCCCACTTTTTGCTACATCTCTGATGGCTGGTCCATGATGTTAGCATACAGAGCCTAGGATTCTGAATTTTTCTTACACCTTAGAGAGTAATCTGGGTTCTCTTGGCTTTCAGTACTTGGAAAAGGACAGTCTGGAGCATTTTTCATGTCATCTACCTGTTGACATTTCCCTGTAAGTTCCTGCCGTCCTTTGCAGATGACAGAGAACAGAAGCCAGTTTGCTTTAATAACTCTGTTATGTGAGTAATTTGTTAGAGATCTGTGATCACTGCAAATATATTCAGAACTTACCTGGATATTGACTGGGAGCCAAGTACCCTGACTGTTGCGCTGCTGGCACCAGCTTTTTCTCATCTCCATTTCTAATATTTCCAAGTGGCATTATGGCACCTCCAGTCTGTGAGGTATTCTGGCTGGACATCTGTGTCTCTTTGATGACTGTTTCTGTCAACTCTTTGTTTTATGGTTGCTAGGGTGTTTTGCTGTTGAGTGATTCCTAACCCAGTCTTGCTGCCTGGGCTGTGCTGCTATGTGCTGGTCTGAATCACAACGTTATGTTTGTCAATAGCCATGTTTGTGTTGTGTTTTGCAGCATCCAAGTCTCCTTGTGAAAGACTAATAAACAAAGGAAGTTTGTCGCTGGGCAGCTCTGCATCTCTTCCTCCCCAGACAGGAAACCGGGACAACTTGCCAATGCTGAACACAAAAATCCTCTACCCAAGTAAGTGTTAACACCCATCGTTTCCTACTGAGGCAGCCAGCTGGAATATGGGTGACAGCAGCGCAGGCTGCAGTTTCCCCATGAAAACATGAAATTGTCCTGCCTCATGTCCTTTTGTGCAGGGTCCATGTGGAGAGAAATCCCTTTGTGGGTAACTTTCCTGTAGGGCTGAAAAGTGAAGAGTTGGAGGGACTTGTAAATAGCTTCCAATTTGTAGCTGAGACCTAGACACTGATATTTATTAACACAATGCAGTGACATATACCAATTCCAAGGAGTTAATGAGCTCAAAGTGACCTTGAGAAGGCTGATAGGATTCTGCTGAGAGAGGTTTCTGAAGAGTGGAAGCCATGGACTGGGAGCAGCAATCCCTTCATGTGGAGGCTGAAGTCACTGGAGGTGCACAGATCCAGCAAAATTCCCACCTCACACATCTCATGTAGCAGCTTCTTGCCATCACTGTGGTGCTGTCCTTCTACCTCTTCCCCCAAAATTACTTCTTCAAATTGTTTTTTCTGGAAACAGGCAGTTTCCTCTCTCTCTGACAAAGTTTGTGGGTTGTCAGCTAATAATTGAAGAAGCAGGAGGCAGTAATTCTTGAGCAGCTTGGAGAATAACTTCAGTCCTACTCCTGTCCCTCTGCTTGTTGAAGTGAGGATGTTGCATGTCTCTCCCTAGAGCAAAAAAGCTTCTGCAGTGAATACAAGCCTATTTCCCACTTGCATGTGTCTGTACAACTGTGCTGCTGGCCCTAGGTGATACCATGTCAATCAAAAACCCTGCAGGCAGCCCCAGAAACCCTTCTTATCGAGAGTGCTGAACCTTCTGGAGTGGATGAAAGCACTATTGCTATTTTCTTTCCACAGTGAATGACAAGAGTTAGTATATTCTGCCCTGTAATCTTATCTCTGAGACTGAAGTTACCTGTTTTCTGCTTATTATTACTCACAGTCTTCCCCATCTTCAATTTTCCTACAGATATCCGTGCTGGCATGTCTGGTTCTTTGCCTGGGAGCTCTGTCATCAGCCGATTGTTGATCCATGCTGATCCCTTTAACTCTGAGCCTGAAAATCTGTGAGTATGCCCAGGAGGCTGAAGGGAGGGAGTGGGCCTTTCAAAATGGACCTCAGCAGAGAAGCAGATTAGTTTACAGGACTCAATAACTGGACTGCAGCAGCCCCGAGTTATGTGAATGAGTTCATATGCTGGGTGCCGTTGAGGATCAGCTTATGTAAGTATACATACAGTGACACATTTGACTCATAGTGGAAGATTTTTAGGTTTTAGGTGAGAATGAAATCTAGACAGTCTTCTCCCTACACTCGGAGATGACTCCAGCTTCCAGTTAGTAGGCAGCAACCTGCGGAGGAATCACCACCCTTACAACAAGGAGGCCCAAGAAAGATCAGGCAGGGGAGGCAGTTGTGAAGTGTCACGTGAAGACTTTCTCAGGCTGTTTCTGCTTAACTGTTTAACAGTAAAAATCCAGTGATACAGAATTTGTTTTTTTCGTGGGGTTCAGTGCCCCTGAGATGAGTAGCTGACACTTTTGAACTCTTTTGTCAGACTCTCTGTAGGTGACACCTAATATATATATATCTATATGTAAGCAATTAGCATTGCTAATGTGTTGTGAGACCTTTTACACAATGCCAATGACCAGCAACGTAGCTTTTTGTAAATGAAGTGTAGAAGTGTAGGCTTCTGCATATGTTTCTGTGGCAAGGGGAGAATTCCTCTGCAAATCTTGCGGCTGTGAAGTCTTACAGACAGAGGCTGCAGGCCAGGGACCTCTGCTCATCAGTAACTACTTTTATGGTATTCCTTGCGGGTTTTAGGCTGTTCCCAGGAGTGCTTAACAGAGCATGTTGGCATACAGGCTTCTTGTTCTTCACCTTTTAATGCAAGAGAATTATGAGGTGGCCAGAGGGGGCATGTGAGTTACATACCAAATGGTATGTAGGCTTAGGAATGGGAGTTTTGTTCTTTTGTTTGGCAGTGAATGTTACACAGAGAAGTGTGTCATGAATAATTACTTTGGAATTGGACTGGATGCAAAGATTTCTTTGGACTTCAACAACAAACGTGATGAGCACCCAGAGAAATGCAGGTGGGTTGGACTTTGGCTGACCTTTGAATATGGCCAGAAGTGACTGAAACCACTTTGTTTCTGTGTGGGTTTGAAATCAATTGTGTAAAAATGTGCTGAATAGGTATATTGTCAATCTTGTCGGCATAATGCCCCTTCAAGGCTTGAAATAATGCTGGAAGAGATAAGCTACTGATTTATTACTGGTTCTGTATGCTGTTGTGGCTATTATAAGATCTTTGAGTAGCTATGTTAGTGTGGATTTAGTGTGTTGGTTCTGTTTACTTTGTGATCTCAAGATTTTTCTCCTGGGCTTGCTATTTAGCTATGAGAGAGTTGCATCTCAGCTCTAAAAGCCACGGAGGCTGATTTTGGCCTTGATCCTAACTTAATACAAACCACAAGTTTTGGCCTTTTGAATATCTGGGCAACTACAGGATGCCTTGTGTAGCCTGGGATTGGTGCGTTTGCTGCACTAAAGCTGATACTGCAAAACACTGTTGATGTCCTGGTGTACGAGATTGACAAGTTCTGTGCCAAGGGAATCTGTGTATGTTTCTGGTAATGTGCGTTACTCAGTCATTCTCAATTCCTATCTGACTTTTATTTAAAGGGGAGTAGTTTCCTAGCACAAGTGATGACCGTTTTGAGTACTTGACCCTTCTGGAAGCAAAACATTGTTGTGTTTTATGATGTAGGAGGTATCATTACAATGTGGGGTTTTTGTCCCTCGTAAGTGAAAAGGTAAATGCCTATGCTAATATTTTCTCTTTTGATTTTCCCCCTTAGAAGTCGTACTAAAAACATGATGTGGTACGGAGTACTGGGGACCAAGGAGCTGCTACACAGAACATATAAAAACCTGGAACAGAAGGTCTTGCTGGAGGTGAGGAATTAACATGCCCTTTTGCTGAAACTGGGATGCCTAATTGCATCTCCTTCAGACACTTTGACTTTGGCATGGTGATTCTGCTTAGCGACATTAGGGTGTTTCCCTTGCCTGGCTGCTACCATATACTTGCTGTCTCTCACTCTGAGCTAGCTGAAAGTGGCTTTTACTGGTTCTGGAAGATAACTCATATTACCAGCTTGTAAGGGAAGTGTCATCCTGGTGGAGAGTGTTAGCTGTCCTCAACTCAGTATTCAGCACAGATAAGATTGTCACATTACATGTGTTGTCTCATGTGGACACGACATTTTAGACAGTAGATGCAGTCGAGAGCAATTAATTTAACTCCACTATAACATGCATCAAACTGGTAAAGAAGTATTCTTGCATGGGTCACATGCAGCATAAACAGCTAGCTTGCTGGAGGAGACCCTCATCACAGCAGACTGCCTAGGTCTCTCAGAAGTTTTATTCCTCTTTCTGGAGGAATAAACCAAGCCTTTCAGGTGTGCCATGTTCCTGTTTAGGAAAAAGAAGCAATAGTATCTCTCTAAAATCCATGTCTTCCAAAGGAGAGGTGGTTCATGAGACATGAATGGATATGTTCTACTCTGCTAGGCCAAGAATAAACTAGAAGAAACTGGAATTAATTTGTCACTAAGCTGTGCAGGCTGTTTTCTGTTCTTAGAGCATGTGCTCTGGCAGGATGGGCTCTGTCCTGTTTGTGCTGACAATGATGTTGCTTTCTTTTCTGTGCAGTGTGATGGGAGGCCAATCCCTTTGCCCAGTCTACAGGGAATTGCCGTACTCAACATTCCCAGCTATGCAGGAGGCACCAACTTCTGGGGGGGAACCAAGGAAGATGATGTGAGTATTCCCTAAGGGCTTCTAGGAAATGTTTTTACTTACTGTTGTTTCTGGAGTGATAGACCCTGAGAATAGTGCTTGGAAGAAGAGGGTAAGGGACCTGTCTGCATGTACCTTCTCTGTGAAGTGGATACAAAACCAAAATCCAGTCTTCAGCAGCTTCGCACCCAAGCAGTCTGTAGTGATTCAGAAAAAAAAAAACCAACAGATGCTGTCCTGGGTGTTTGGACTTCCATGAAGGAAGTACTTTAGATTGACCGTCTCCCCTCAGACTGCCTGAGGTGTAAAGCCCCCTGGAAGGCAAATGGAGTTAGATCCAGTCAGAAGCATTGTATTATTTGAGATGAAAAAATGCCTGCTCTCGTAAGAGTAATTATTGCCTTGTGGCCTACAGCCTTTGTGTTAGCTACCGTTGGAAGCACAGTGGGAATGTCAAGGATCCTTTTTCTCCCTCCTAGCTCCCTAGAGATCTTCACTTTCTAGCCTCGTTGTTCATTCTGTACAGATTAAAAAGCACAATTGAAAGCCGACTCCCAAATCTTCACCAACAGGGGGTAAAGGAAACCTCTCCAGCAGAGTTGTATGACAACGGAATTCTCTCTCCCTTTTATCTGGCTAGACATTTACAGCTCCCTCCTTTGATGACAAGATTTTGGAGGTGGTCGCAGTGTTTGGTAGCATGCAGATGGCAGTGTCACGAGTGATAAATCTGCAGCATCACCGGATTGCACAGGTATTGATTGCTTTTGTGAGCTCTTCTTGCCTCTCCCATGTCCAGCTTGTGATGTTGTTGCCAATTTCAGTCAGTAAAGCCCTCCTTTGTGCTCTTTCTTATCCATGGAAAGAGCATCCACCAGGGATGAAAATGAGCATGTCCAGGGGCAATTTTGGCATGGAATTGTTAGCTAGCATTCATTGTGGTATGAGTTAGACCGCCAATTCAAATACAGATTAGTCCAAACACACAGCAAATGACCCTTGCTTCAGAAGGGCGAGGCGTGCCCTGCCACCCGGGCACGTGTGCCGCTGGTAGCACCAAAGCTACAGTAGCTGGGGAAGTGCTTTGGCAAGAAAGATGGTATCTAGTGCTTTTGGAAAACCAACATTTTAGAGCTTCTCTGATGCAAACACTTCTTGCAGTGTCGGACAGTGAAGATAGCAATCCTGGGAGAAGAAGGAGTTCCTGTGCAAGTGGATGGAGAAGCCTGGATCCAGCCTCCGGGTTACATTTGGATTGTTCATAAGAACAGAGCACAGACCCTCACCCGAGACCGGGTAAGAGCAGCCTTGCATACACTTGTAGTGCACACGTGTTTCGATGGCACATGCTCCTGGAGAGTGTGGCAACAGCCACATGTGAAAGCTTATCTTTGAGAATTTAAGAAGCATATTTTGCTACACACCATAAAACTTCTTGTCAGAACATGGTTAAACTTGCACTCACCACTTGGAAAATCCCATAAATAAGGTTGCTTATGCAAGCTTATGTTGCTTCCTTTTCTAGGTGCCTTGTGACAGCATTTCTTAACACACTTGCATGCTGTTTTTCCCACAGGATTCCTGCCTCACTGAGTGCTCCGGATTGTGTGGATTCAGCTGTTCAATATTTTAATTTCTCATTACTGTTCAATATGTGGCTTATACATCATTGACCAAGTAAAACAGCGTCTAATGCCTTGTTCAGCAGTGTGTGTATGTCTCATCTCATAATTTGCAAATAGATCTGATGAGTACCAGCACATAGGGAAGCATCTGTGCCATTTGACTGTATTACTGAGTGGTGGTAAGCCAAAGGAAAAGGATAAAGGCCTTGCTGTGGCACAAACAGGCTTTATGGTTCCTCCCAACTCTGTAACTGTCTGTGGATAAACAGTTCAGTTGATAGCAGTTCTCAGGACTTCCCAGCATAATGCCCCTTTACCCAGCTTCCAGGGCAAACCAGAGTCCTCTGCAAAGGGCTCACCTGCTGAATGCCAAGAAAAGAGAGAACAACCAAGAGGAACAAGGGAAAGCAGCCTGATACAGGCCTGAGGCAGATTCCCTGGCAGGGTGTTACAGGTATGAAAAGAAAGTGAAGGTGGGTGCACAAAGCCCCTGTCATGAGTCTTAGGTGTTGCCCTGTCTGAGCCTTGAGGTGGGAGAGAGCAGTGGGTATTGGTGCAGTTGGTGGGGAGAGAACGAGAGAGGAATAGCGTGCACAGTCTTTCCTGGGGGGATACTGAGCTGCTGCGGTATCACACGGAGACTTTGAGAGGGAGTGACTGAAGGCACAGAGAGCAAGGAGGAACAGGATTCCTTCTGTAAAGGTGGGAAGGAGAAAAGGAGAGGCAACCTACATGTGGGTAAGGTGGGAAAGGCAGAGCGAAGCACAAGAGGTAGAGAGGACACACAAGTCCTTAGTGAGTGTGCTGTGTGTGTTAGGCCATCTGAAGCCACATCTGTGATTGTGCCATGCTACTCCTCATTGCCTGCGGCTCCAGCTTTGCAGGCATGGAATTGCCACTGAAGAACAGGTTCCAATTTTGCAGAGCAGCATTCAGCTTTTGTCTTGACTGGGGGCTTATCCTTATTTTTCCTGCTGTCCTTTTGATCATCGTTGCACTCACCTTCCTTCACAGAGCAAATATGTCCTATGCAGTAGGTGAAGTGGGGTTCTGCTACTGTGGGGGTGACCTCTCTTCAGTGCGTGACTCTGTACCTTTGGTAGCATTTTTCAAATGTGACTTGGAATATTTAGTTTCCTAAACTGAAGATGGAAAAACGAAAATTCTCTTGTGTGGACTCATGTGCACCACTGAAGAGTCATCAGCAAGGTTGAGATCAGCAGATAGCGTGCACTGGGCTGACAGAGCCTGGGTTTGTCCTGTATGAGGCGCAGTAGGGGAAGCGAATACTTTACTACAGGGCTTCACAGGTATTTGCAGACACAGGACAATGGTGTGTCCCCGGAACCTTGGATCGTCCCCAGAGACAGTTGTGTTTAGTGGACACTGGCTTTTCTGCTCCATCCATTATCTCTCTCTACCCTTGGTCCTGTGATCCTTATCTAGTCTGTACTCAGTCTTGTTTGATTTCCCAGGCCCAGGATCCATGATTATTGTTTTCTTCCCATTTCCCATCCACCCATCACAGTCAATCTCCAATCCTTTTCTGGCTCCTCAAATGCTGATTTTTTTTTTTCCATGAAAGATTTGCACCTGTGCTTGTTATCCTTATCGTTCTCTTTAAATTATTCTTCCTATTTCAGTCTTGCCATTTTTTGTGCTCGTTGATCCATCTCTCCTTGCCCTGAGGCTTTGTATGTCAGTTTTCATTCTCACCATATCCAATTTTTATCCTTCTGCACTGGGTCTGTTTTGCTTCT